CACCCCCGCCCCTGTCTGTGTCTCTCCCTCCTCCAGCTGACGAGGACAGCAGAGGCGTTGCATGCCGAGTGGCACAGTTAGACAGCGAGTAGCACTAAAATGCGAATGTCAAGAATTCTCTGTATTAGGTATAGATTTAGGTGTGCTTACTGTGTATGGGCATTGCAACGGCCCCAGGTCGAGCAGCTGCCGCAGACACAGTCCCACATAGGTGGGATTACATGTGCCTATTTGCAGCAGTCAGAAGAGATACTCTGAGTTTATCCGTGGTGAACAGGATACATATGCACTTTGGAAATTAGGTTACTAAAAAAGATCCTGAGATTCGTCTGCAGCTATTTTAGAGTCACTGTAGCAGTATTTTCTTCCTTAGAAGTAATGCTGAGCTCTGAGAAACTTTCCAGCATAAAGGAATATTGTGAGCTCAGTTTCTTTCTGCACAGCGAGTTTCCTGGGTGCGGAGGAAGAGAAATGGGTAATAAATAGCAGGTCACATTTGTGGCAGGCAATATTTAATCAGGACGAGTGAAGGAGCAACACAGAGAGGGTTCAGTATCAATTTCGCTTTGTTCCCTGCAGTTTGTAGCTGTGAGGATGTACTTTGAAGTAAGAATAAGTTATTTTAACTCTGTAAGTCGTGGTTGCAGGAGGATGGCATAGACAGACAGACAGGTACTGACTGATTTTTGTGCAGTGGAGCACTCCCCGTGATACATATTTGCTAGACGAGGATTGGAGGGGGTCTACTTCACCAAAAGCTAGTTTAGTGCCTAAAATGCTTTAATTACAATATAGTGCAAAAAATATGACGTGGACTTGAAGTCTAAACTTAATTACACCATCCAGACTGTAGGTGTCGGTTCCTTTATGGCCTTTCAGGCCCGCAGAGGGAATTATCTATCTGTGCAAAAGGGTTGCCAAAAATATTAAGGAAATTATATAGGGATTCATGCACGGCTATCGATTTATCTCGCGTATCGATCCCGCACAATAGATTACATATACACGGTCTCTTGTTATGTTTGCTATCTGAGCTCACTTGACATTTCTGCAGTAATTTAGTTAAGAGGAAATGAGTTGTTCCCAGTAGAGAGAGCAAACGAGTGGAGTGAAGGTAGCCAGCGTGATAAATGGCTCTTTCATTTGGAGATCTCCAGAGCTCGTTTAAGGCTAATTTTCTGTATTAGCCCCCTTTGAGCTATTAATGCAATAGGCAGGGACCGTGGCCCCTCGTCTCTTAGCTGCCCCATTAGAGCGAGCATTAAGCTACCAAGCCTGAACTCTACTGTGGTGGTGGTGGTGGCGGTGAAATAATGAAAGGTGCTTTTTAAACTCTCCTAATCTAAAGTGGCAGAGGGTGGTTAATACGATTTGAAGGGGGCTGGTCAATGAACAATCAATAAACTAATAATGAGAAGGATGCGGTACATTAACAGTCTAAAAATCCAACAAGACATTAAAAAATCATCGTTAACTCCTAGTTCCATTAAGGTTTGGGCGGTGGAAGGGGGAGGGAGGGAGCCAGATAAATCATCAAGATGATAATAATCACCAAAAGCGTTAATACCAGATTTAACTCGGCTCTAAGAGCTTACCGGCCGCACGTTTTGAGGCCTTTCCCTCGATTTCTGCTGAAATGAAGGGAAGGTTTTCCCTCTGTCAGGAATAAAAGATCGTGTCCCCTTGTCAACTGCTCATCTGAAATCTGCTTGGCACCGTCTATGGCGAAAGAAGTTGTCCTCTTGCAAAACCTCGCGTGGCCCGAGTCCCAAGTTAATTTTTTGTGACTCTGGGGCACAGTCAGTGACCTTAAAATTATCCTGATGTATTTATTTACTTTCAGCTCTTTCTGACGATCGCCTGCACACTCACATCTGATTTAACGCGAAAGGCCATTTTAGCCCTAACACCTTAATTCATTGTCTCCTTGCAAACATCCTCTATTGTTCATGTTATTTTAAAGAAACATATGAAAGGCGGTGTCTTAACATTTTTTTTTTAACTCTTAATAATACAGCGTAAGATTCCTCCCCGCCCCTTCTTGAAGTATCCGGATAAATGATTAACTGAAACCCACTCTGGCCTCAGCTTCTCAGGTGATAGATCTGGGAATCGGAGATGCTGCTTCGCTGCCACTCGGTTTCGTGCTTTTTCCTGGATTACCCATTGAACCTTACGATCCACTTTAATTGAATGCAAAACGATTTCGAGGGAATACATTTCACTTTGAGATTTAGTCCCAGCTTTCAGGGGAAAGGGACTGCGGTGGAGGAGGGGTGGGGGGAGGGGAAGAGGAGGAGACAGGAGGGAAGGGAACATGAACACACACTTTCTGTATTTGTTCATTAAAATTAAAATAAGAACCGGGTCTTTTAGTGGCAATGGGTAAGACGTTGTCCCCAGGCTTTCTAGGTTTGGCTACGAAGTCAGACCAAATCATCATTAACAACAGAGTCCTGTTCTAACGGACAAAGAACTTTTTACTCATTTCAGGCCCAGTAGGCAGATAAAAAGATTTGAAGGCAGTTTGATAGCTGATTAGTAGTAAGTTTGTCCATGACGTTTGTTAGTAATAAATACAAGAAATATTTCTCCTCATTAATTGATTGATTGACTGATCGACTATCATATTATTCACCAGGGTTACTGCCACTGTATCCATAGCTTAGAGCCTCGTTACTCAGCTATTTTCAAGACATAATTCTCCCTATTTGTTTATTTTTTAGTGTTGCTGAAATGCCCTTTTATTTCCATTTCCTCTTGTCCGTGTGCCTTCGTGTGCCTTTTCAGGCGTTTGTGGAGAGCAACCCAACAGAGAACCACCACCACCACCACGGAAAAAAAAAACCCAACAACCCAAACCCTAAGACTTAATGTATGCACAGAAAATTGTAAACATGTAAAGAACTGAAAGCTTCACGCTGAGTTTCGCCATGCTCCATTTCCCCACCATTTCCTGCTGTCGTTTTAAAGCGATCTCACTCATCTAGAGATCCCGTTTGCAGGAACAGTATGCTTATAATTACTAACAAATCAAGCGGCTACTGTTGCTCTCCTGGTTTATTGATAAGCTGAAGAGAAATGGAAGGGGGAGAAATGACAAAGAGGCGGGAAGTAACCGCAGGAAGAGAAAGAGAGAAAGAAAGGGGTAGAGAAGGAGAAAGAAGTCGAGAAAAAAAGAGGGAGAAAGGGGAGAGGGAGAGAGAAGTAAGGAAAGAGAAGGCAGAGATTTTGGAAAGGGGAATTACGTAGCTGTGAATGCTCACATACACACAGCAAATCGAGTTTGGGAGTGAAAGAAAACCGAATAGTTTCTGCTGGGGATAACAAGAACTAAATGGGATAAAGTTAAAGCAGAAGTGGTGGGGACGCTGCGTCTACCCGTGTGAGTTATTCTGTATTATCTCAGCAGTTGTAGCAATCCCTAACCAACTGGGAAAGTTGACATCGACTGAAAGTATACTGTGCCTTACAGTTTATTTACGTACACGCAGGGATTTGACACGTGCAGCTGCACACACGGACGTGTGTATCTCTTCACCCACTAAAACCTCCACGTTATATTATCTCTGGTAACGCCTGGGCTGTATCTGGAAAGCTATAGCCATGATAAACATATAGATATGATATAGATAGAGATAATTCATTCCATGGCAAACACTTTTTTGAGGCAGCATTAGGTAATTTACAGAAGATATAGAGTCTAGATAGAATACATCTCTCTGAAGCTATGAAATTGCAATAGATATGCTTACACCGCCTGGCAAGCCTCTAAAATGGGTTTAGAGTTATTAGACTCCAACTGATGGGTATGTTCTTACGGTCCTTTTCGGGAAGGCATTGGTAGGAACAAAAAGCTGAGGAGCTCTCAGCATGGCTGGGAAGGGAGCCAGCCTGCTTCCCAAAAGCAATTTGCAAGGAAAAAAACACTGAGCACGTGAAAATCCGTATTTGAAAGGTTAACTAATGTAATGAGTGCTCCAAAAGGCCAGAGCGAGCCGGGTGAGGTACATTTAAGCATTGCACGGGTCCCTCTCTCTTTAGTGAGTTTGGACTAAGATCAGATGGTCGTGGAATTGCTGCCTCTTGTTTAATTTCTCAGTTCACTGGACAGTGACCTGATAAACTGGCCACTAAATATAGCCACTGTAAAGGTGTACTCGACCCACTGAGCCCATGTGTTTGACCGAAGAAAAAAACGCCAGTCATGAAAATCTGTCTGGTGGCACTGCTTTAATCTAACTCTTTTTTTTTTTTTTTTTTTAACTTTTTCTTGATGCTTCGCTCGAATGACGTTTGCAGAACGTCGTGCATTAAATAAGTGATATACCTATGTATAATGGGGGAAGAGAGAGAGAGACTTTTTTTTTTTGTCTGCCAGTGCTACCTCTGACACCCCGAACGAGTCCCTTCCTATAGAATCAATGGCAAAAATCCTATTAATAGCAAGGAAAGCAGAGGAGGGCCTCTAACTCTTTTATAACTGTTTCTCTGCCATTCTCAAACTATTTGAAACCGCCTTTATGAGCTGCATAAAGTGCCTAACTAAAAATAACAGAGAAATAGGAATCCATTTCACTTTCCGATTCCCTGGAGTAAAGCCACTCAAAATAATTTGTTTATACTGGAGACTATATACAAGGCATATGAAGCAATATGTATATCTAAAATTGACATGCCTTTTGGTTTTTAGCTGTTATAGAGCTTTTATTGTGGGGGTCTGGTCTGGCAGTAGGAAATGATCTGTAATAAAAACAGTGAAACACGGTTGTGTCTATTCCATACACTGAGGTTATAAAATTGGCAATTGCCCAGTAGTTAGCACTTGGTAATATATTAGGATACCCGATCTTATTGTTTAGCAGCTCCAGACGACTTAAATATCCCCTCAACCCTAATGGTTTGATTCTCCAGATATGTTGCAAATAAACAGGGTTTTTATGACTTAACTGACATGTATTATAACTACTAAATAGCTGGCATATGTGCAGAATAGAACCCTATTATTTGCCGAATTGGTTTTGCAATTGATTGAGTGGAAATGGGAGACTGTGGAGCAGTATCTGCTCGACGAGGGTGTGTAATCAATTAGTCTTCTCCTCTGAAACATGCCCGGACTCTACCACCAGCAAACCCCGCCAATTTCGGAGTATATTTTCTATAAGGAAAGGCGTGTTGCCGCGATTCCGAGAGGAAGCAGCAGTAGCAGCTGTCAGCTCTTATTAACTCCTGCATAAAACATACCTTAAGTACGGTTTGTTATCAATTACTTGCAGAAATGAAACAACTGGGAAAATGCAGCGAGGCTCCCTATAAATTAAAGTGATTGGTTGATTGATTAGAGCACCTGCTGTAAATCATAACAGTTCCACGCAATTATGAGGGAGCTGTTTAAGTTCATTTGTAAACAAAATTCATGTCACGGGGGGATTGCTCTCATTTTTAGTTTAACCAGTTTGGGGTGGTGTTTTTTTTTTTGTTTCTTTCTTTCTGAGTGTGTCTGGTTGCTATTACAGGAGTTTGTTCGTTATAATGCCCTTGGTTACTCTTAAAATAACCTCGCTAGTTTCTCAGAGAAAAGAAATCTTTCTTTTTATCATGGGCAGAATAACATCTTTTTATTTTGTTTAGTTCCCCTTTATTGTTTTGGTTTGTTTTTTTCCCCCCATAACTACCTTTAAATATGTGTTACAGTAACTAGATCAGCTTTATTTAGGAGCAGGAGAGTTCCTGCTACTTCATGGACAGCGCAAGGTGGCGAATGCTGTGGTTAGACCAGATATTTTTTTTCTGGTGTTCATTTTTCTGAAGGAAAAGACTCATTTTATTTCATAAACCAGACTTAATAAAAACACAAAGCAATAACAGAGCTGTCTTCTGGTTGCTGTATCCTCCAGCCTTGACACTTACTTAAGGCAGCAACTCCCTTCGTGTAGTGAATTTATTCCTAGCTCAGCTTAGCAGTAATGGAAACATTCGCAAAAAAAAGTAAATTTTCCTTTTTTTTTCCCCTCCAGAAAGGCGCTGTCCGTTGTACAAAAGGCATCGGGGGGCTCTGGGTGAGACACAGGCTCAAACCCGAAAGTTGCCAGGTGCTTGCCAATATGTATTTTATTTCCCAATGATCAAACCCTGCATAGAGGCTGTACTGCACCACCCTTCTCTCCATCCATCATTCATGGAGCAGTTTCCTAGAGGTTGGGGGAGCAGCACCCTTTAGGTTGCTGGAGGTAGCCAGAGATTCAAAATTCCCTTTCATTTTGCTGTTCTGTGCATGTCAGAGAGACTGTGGTTATCCTGTACTCCTTCGTGGCGTGACGGTTTCTCTCTCCCCTCTTCCCCTTTTCTTTCTCCAGTTCCGGTTCCTCCAAAATCTGTTACTTCTTTGATGATGAATAAAGATGGCTTCCTGGGTGGAATTTCAGTCAATACCGGAGAGGTGTTTTGCTCTGTACCCGGCCGCTTGTCTTTGCTTAGTTCAACTTCAAAGTATAAAGTAACTGTGGGAGAAGTTCAAAGACGCCTTTCTCCTCCAGAGTGTCTGAATGCGTCCCTCCTAGGAGGAGTACTTAGAAGGTAAGAGGCTGGGGCGAGCGCATGAACACGCCCATGTGTGGGCACCCATGCATGCACCAGAAATATTTGGTCAATGGTAAAGACGATTGCAAATATGCGTTGATCTTACTGTCATAGCATGTGTGTGTGTAACGTTCAGGGTAAGGTGAAAATATGCTGCATTCAGACATTGAGGTGAACATGTGGGGACTAGGGAAAAGTTTGGCCTTGTACGTTTTCTATCAAAGCATCTCAAAATGAAGGAACTGAGACAAGAAGTTTTTTCACACTTGCACATGCACACACTTTCTATCTTTTCTCCTTCTCCTCACACTTCTCTCTTGGCAAATGGACAAAATAAAATGCCATGCTGGGCATGTTGCAGTTAGATGTTGCAGGACAAACTGGATGTATTTCAGGACCTGATGTATTTCTAGGGATTTCCTAGATAAATCCATGAGGCTTCCTCTATATGGCAATAACGATAAGGCAATTACCACGGTGTCACACAAGGCATTATTGAAATTGGCAGGGGATTTATAGGCTACCTGTAAGGTAGGTAAGTACCCGACTAAAGAAAAGCCATCAACATAGCTTTGAAAGTCAGAAACTTAGTGCTTCATCTAGAGAAGGTTGCTAGAGGAATTGCTCACAGTTGGTCTTGAGGCCTTTGCTGTTTAACATTTGTGCAAATCACCCACTAATGTCCTGGCGGATTTTGCTGAAGACCTCAAAATAGTTGGCATTACTGATACTGAGGGAAAAGAGGAGCGAGGGATAACCTGGAGGCCTGGTTGCCACTCCATCACATCAAGCGAGAGATCGTGCATTTAGGTACCAGTAACAAGAATTTAAGCTCCAAGGTCATCAGCTAGAAAGACTAACAGGAGAAAGGCCTTTATCTTCTTGACAGTGACTGAAGGTCTGGGAATTGTCAGTATGACTGGTCTGTAAGAAAGGTGAGCTAAGGCTCTATCTCCGGTCAGAACAGGGAAGAAGTCGTGATATGGTATGAGGTACCAGTTCACCCAAGCCCATGGAAAGCTGAGAGGGGATAAGACTTCATTTTCTACATGTGAGGTATATGCCAGACTGTAAGATAAAGCATAACTTTGAGACGGAAACAAAGTCAATGAATTTGGCCCTGAATAAATTTCAGATCATGTTTAAAAGTTGCTGATCTTAGGGGAGGAAATACCTTGCCAACTCCTGTAGCACCAACTGGGCAACGTTGACTCTAAGGTGTTTTAAAATGAAGTTGTTGTTTGTTTGTTTGGTTTTTTCCCCCATGCAAAAAAATTCTGGGAAGATGTCAGGGGCTCCAGCTCCGCGTCTGGAGAGGAGGGGGAAAGTCCTGCTACATGCAGTCAGTCACCCAAAAATACACGTGAGAATTAAGGTCTCCTAAAATAGATGCTGTTCCACGTGAATGTCTGTAATCAATGTTTCAGCTGTGATCCTTGCCAGTGAGAGCAGCAGAGATTTTCACTTACAGATGCTAACCTGTCTGCTCGTTCTGTACAACCACAAATGGAGCAGGGAGAACATCTGAGAGATGCACTGTAGAAAATATAATTATCAAGGTAAAGAAGCATCATTATTGAACTTCAGTGGATTTCTGGAGATGGCCCAAGACATAATCACTGGCTGCTGCTGACTTCAGTTCCTATCTTGAATCTAAATTTTAGACAAGCTTTTGGTTCGGAGCACATGAAATACAGAAAGCTGCTCTCTTGCAATTCTGCCATCTAGCCCTATTTGCTCTGATACAAAATAGTGGGAAGCCAGTCTGGCTTCTCTGTCGTTTCTGGTTTCCCTTCGCTAAGTGTGACTGCTAATGCTTAAACAAATTTTAAGTAAGAACTAAGAGATGTTTGGGATAGGCTCTGATCTTAGGTGCCAAAAGTCTCCCTGATTTCGCAGGTGGCAAGGTTTCATCCCTGGGGGTTTACATATGTATAGGCGTCCGAACAATAGCTCTGTATTTCCCACCTATAGCTCGCTCATCCTTTTATTGTCCTTATCAGTAACCTCCGACAGATATTCAAATCCTCCTTCAGGCAATCAGTTCCCTCTGTATAACGCACCCTGCCTTCAGGTGAGCTCTTCCTCTCAGCACCGCCTTTCCGCACAAGAACACACTCACACACACGCACGAAATGGTTTAAAATATATTTTTCTCCTTTTCTATTTATCCACAGGCATGCACATTCTCCTTTCGAGCCTTTCAGATTTCCCCCCCACCTCCTCGTTCTTCTTCCCATTCTGGCTCTTTCCTGGAACAACTGAGGATTTAATTCTCCTCCTCTACCTTTCTGCCCATCTCCTCGCTCCATCTTAATACGAGTTAGTGTCATACAGCAGGAACCCATGTGCTCTCTAGATCAGAACTCTGTCCATTAATTATTGCTATCTGGCATTATTTGATTTCCCTGGATAAAATAGGGAGAAAAATGGGTTCATCCCCACTCTCACCCCTGGGAGAAATTAAGCAAATCTCAGCTAACCCGAGCAGAAATCAACACACCCGAAGTCCTTAACGTCGAGTGAAAACCCTCCCAGGCTCCACTGACTGCACAGACTAAACGTTTCTTCCAGGAACACTGCGGGGTTAATCACGATGTTAATTTCTTTGCAATTCTAGAGCCAAATCGAAAAACGGGGGGAGATCTTTGCGAGAAAGGCTAGAAAAAATCGGTTTGAATTTACCAGCCGGCAGGCGTAAGGCCGCAAATGTCACTTTACTCACCTCCCTGGTGGAAGGTAAGCCGAGGGTCGCAGCTCCCTTCACACCCCTGCCTGCTCTGAACTCGCGTCTGACATTTTACGAACAAAAAAAAACCAACAAAAACCACTCAGGTGGGAAAACCTTGCAGAGGTGAAATTCAGGGCGGGTTAGCATGAACACCGGCACGGTTAAGGATCCCATTCCCCAAAATGAAATCACTGGCTGGAGGGTCATTGATCCCTCTTGGTGGCAAGAATGAGGGGCTGTGTGTGGGTGTGTGGGTGTGTGTGTAGGTGTGTGTGACCCGACAGGGCAGTCCCATTCCTCATTGCTATTAATTTCCAGCCTGTGCTCTCCGACTCCACGTCTACTCCATCCTCCCGCTAATTCGCTCCTCCCGAGCTTATTTATGGCCGCTACAGGACTCTCAGTGAGGAAAAATGATACAGAATTTATTTTTTTTAAAGAAATCGGAGCAACTGAAGAGTCGCAGAGCGCGGTTTACCTTAAGGTGGCTAGAACGGAACAAAGAGACAAGCTATTCCTGAGGACGGAGAGAGGGAAGGGGAGACTGAAGTTTCACCTCATTTCAAGTCAACTAATGTCATTTTGGCGTTCGGCGTGTTTCTTTGATTTATTGTTACTGTATTGAAAAGTAAAATTTCCAGCCACTAATATGCTTAGGATATGTGCGTGTTTATGCTACGAGAAGCTGGTCCTTCTCCAGAAAACATAACCGGAATAGTATGGATGCAATTATGAATTATATGTATCTGCATTACACATACACACCGAGAGGCGTATAAATAATCCGCTTATCTCTTCTGCATATAAAGCAGGCATAAACATTTGTGCTAGATGTTAACTTTTCAACTCTTTTGATTGAGTTATGTGAGCGATAAGACCTTACCGCATGCAGAGCTGAAGGCAGGCTCGCAAAAAGACGGGGGCTGATAGAAACGAGCTCCTCCCGGTACCCGCGTGTGGGTTCTGCCGAGTGTGCAAAGCCCGGCGTGGGTTACGGATATAGGGTCGGGCTATAGGAGACGGGAAGCATTCCGGGTGTGACAACTGCCCTTGAACACCGGGGTTAGCGCCGCTTCACCCCCGCTGCCTGTGTGAAAACCGGGGCACCCCACTCACAGCAAAATCAGCCCCTCCCCGAAGCCGGCTTGAGGTTCAAAAGCTTGTGCGGTTGTACAGTGACGCTAAAACCGATGTCAAGTGTGTAGGAAGGCGTACGTTACCCTCCTCTCCCCCGATTTCCCTACAAATCAACAGTTTCCCTTGAGAGCTCCCTCCTTTCGGAAGAAGCTGCACCTGCTGGAGATTTATCTTCTTTTCTGCCAGCAGCCAGGCTTTAGCGTTGCTGCTGTTGTATCGCCCAAGAGCAGGATTAGATTACCCCGGCGGTGCCCGGGCCCGCCCGGCCGGGATTACCCCGGGCCCGGGGGGCCTGCCCGGCGCGGGGTGACCGCGGCGGGGACTCCCCGGGCTCAGCCGGGTGCCCTCGCTTTCATTAAGCGGTTTGGTGATTAGCGAGAAGCCTTGGAAAGCAGAAGATGACGTTGGAAAGCAGCTCCTGATCGTTAAAAATAATGTGGTCCTGGAGTTATTAGACGTATCTGGTTTGCGTGTTGGAAATCTTCCCCCCCGGTCCCTCAGGCGGTGCTTTAAAGGGTTTAATGCTTTATTCTAGAGGGGCTGAGCTGTAATCTGGTGGAATCCCCCTAGAGTCGGAGGGTTTGGGGTTTTTTTTCCTCTTTTTCTCCTTTCTTCAGCTACTGTCTTCTTGTGGCATAAAGTACATCAGTAGGAGTTGGATGACACGAACCTCTGGAGGCAAGAAACCTGAAACCAGGCAGGCAGGAAAAGTGACAATTAGAATTAGAGTTAGAATAATTATGATTTTTCACAGAACAGGTTGCCATTAGTTGCTATCCTTCCACCGGGCAGAGAGGAGTTCCTGTTGCACGGTGGTCAGTTAAGAAAGCAGATTAATAATTTCCGTGGGAGGAAATGCGGTTATCTCCATCATTTTACAGATGTGGCGATAATTGTGATCGTGATGCAAGTGCTTTGTGTGTGTGCATAAACAAGTGTGTATATAATGTCCCACAAAGAATTGACATTAATACTAACATTATGTCCACGTCTGTAAAATTTTGGACGGTGTTCCGGTGTATTGAGGCAGGAACGGTTCCTTTGCTCTAAGGGAAGTTCGGATCTTTCTGTCTTTCGGGATTTAAGTTTCCTCTTGCCTTTTTTTTTGGCCCAGTTCATTTGAAAGTGTATGTGTGCGTGTGCGTTACTGTGTGCTTTTCCCACAGTTCTGCACGATCAGCTGCAGCGGTACCTACCACCACAAGTGCGTTGTAGCAAAGACAGAGCTCATCAGCTGAAAATCTGTCCCATCAACTTACTTCTGCCCTCAAAATAGGGCTTGCGGAGGGAAAACATATACCTGGAGCCTGTCCTAAGGCGCAGGGGATGTTATAAGGTTTCTAAACCCGGCCCAGAAAGAGCTGGTCTCTCCCAGAGGGAGCGGTGAGCAGCAGCCCGGTGCCGCTCGGTGCCTCGGCAGGTCGGAGCCAGCCCAGCCTGGGGCCGGCGGCGCCCGGAGGTGTTAATGCCCCCTCTCATTCCCTCCAGGTGAGGCCGTTCATTTAGCTCGGGATTTTGGGTACATCTGCGAAACGGAGTTCCCAGCCAAAGCTGTTTCTGAGTACCTGAACAGACAGCACACGGACCCCAGCGACCTCCACTCCAGGAAAAACATGCTGCTTGCTACAAAGTGAGTGCGAAGTTGACCACCCCCCTTCTGCCCTCCCCCGAGAAAATCCTCCCCCTACTTAAACCCTTCCTCTGAGCCCGTTTTGGAATTTCCAGTCCCTAAATTACAACGGCCCCGCGGGGAGGAAGGACGCTCCTACCACCCTATGGGCAGGGTAGACCCTATAGCCTCTGCGTCCCTCTGCAGTGGGGTTTCTGCCAACACACACTGACCCTATAGAGGATGTAGGCGACTGTCCCCTACCTACTGTACATCGTTTCCAAGCCACCCCCAGTCATAAAATCTTTCTGGAAAGGGGACCAAAACTCTATATTTTGTTTCCACAGCATGTCTGTCTGTTCCTCCTGCTGCTCACACACACCTGTTTGCCTGCTACCAAATTGCAATGTCTTTTCCATACGGTTTAATTAAAAAAAAAAAAAAAAA